TGTGGTAATACTGCTTATGTCAATCAACATGGTTAGAAATTCTGATGGACAGTTCCTATGGCCCTCGATGAGTGAAAATGGGAAATCTTGACAATGTGATCTGCTTCGAAATCTGAATTCGATGGGAGAAATTAAGAAAAAATGCCCATGGCGGTGAAATATCTGGGAGTCACTAAGCTAAAAGGAAAAATACAAATCATGGAATATTAGGCACAAGACAACGTGGACCTGAGGACCTGGGGACAAGGGTCATGGTGTATGACACGCTGGGTGTTAATCTTCCTTTCTTTTCAGGGAACACTGCCCTGCTCCACGCAGACCCTGCCACCGATGTCCCCGTGTGTTCCTAGCCCCTGACAGGAGTTGCCTGGACATTCTGGACACACTCCTCTAGAAGCGGTGTGGCTGGGTCAAATAATGAGCCAAGTTGATCACATTTCTCTCTTGGAAACGGGGAATCAGGAAACTGAGAGGTGGAGTCAGTTTCTAGCAGAGGTGGAAGACAGGAGGCCATGTGAAAAGTTGTCCCCTGTAGCAGGTGCTGGGTCGGGGTCGGGGGTGGTGGCGGATAACTCTCTCGTAGCGGGTGGAAGCTGCATGGGAATGGTGATCCACGAGTGGGCAGGAATGTCAGTCCACAGCATGGAGAATGCAACACAAGTGGCGAGGAGGGAATACTTCACGGGCAGCGGCTCTAGGATTGGGGTTAGTCCTAGCTCCCATAAAACCTAGACGTATGTTTCACCCCCTGTGGAGTAGAGAGCCCACTGGTGGAAAACAGCCATGGAATTCCTTGGAAAATGCCAGCTGGGGGTGGAGAGAAGAGCACCCAGGGGTGTGGCCCTGCCCGTCTCCCACAGGAATGCCAGGGCTTGAACTCACAAACCATGAGATCGTGACCCGAGCCGAAACCGAGAGTTGGAGGCTTAACCGACTGAGCCACCCGGGCAGCCCTGGTCCCCCTCTTTACATCCACACTCACACCGCTGCCTCGTGGGGAACAGGGCCTCCCTACATCTAGACATTGGGCATGGCCCTGGGACTTGCTCTGACCCATGGCATGCTGGGTAGACAGATGACCGTGTGAGTTCTAAGTCTAGGCATTAAGAGAGCTCGTATGTTGTCTCTGCCACTGCCGGAAGAATATACTCTGGCTAGCCCACTGGTTTCAGAGGGTGAGAGAAACGCGGAGAAGAATTAAATCAAACCTTGGCCAGGAGCCAAGACCAGCAGGGCCGACGTGGGATCAACGGAGCTGCTCTGGGCCACCGGCACACACGTGAAAAGTTAATGCCACTGAAACGCCGTGCCTGTTTGGTTGCCCCAAACTTCCGTGCAAGTAGCTACTTGGTAAGATCCCTTTGCAAAGATTAGATTGAATGTTCCTAATTTGGGCCCCAGTGAGGAGTGAGAGTATCGCACCCCATTGAGCCTCCAGGGTGCTGATCATAGTAGATAGTAAGAGATTCCCTAAGGGATCTAGATCCTTGGGGCAGAGGAGCTGGGCGACAGGTCCAGTCTTTGCTGTCCGTGGAGACATTCCCCTTTTTGCCAGCCTTGTAGGATTTTGTGTTACTTTATTAAATACAATTTGCAAGGCTCTCCTCACACCTGAGGTCCACTAGGCTGGTTCAGGCGGCTGTCCACCGAGGTGCCATCGGGGCCAAGCAGCTGACCGTCACAACTCCCAGTCTCTGTTACGCTTCCCCGCGACCCTGGGGCTGCATTTTTGCCGATGAAACAGGACAGGAAGAGGGAATCGCTGCGTGTGGGCTGGCGTATCGGGAGAGGGCCATGCCTCCTCACTTTCCCCTTCCTGCCGCCTTGCAGCCCAGGCCACGGAGTCAAGGAGAGTCCGCTAGGCCAGTACTAATGAAGTGTGGTCCATGCCCCAGCGGCTCATCCTTGACTCGTTTGTTACTCATCTACAGCACGATAGAGAGCTCGTGCCGGAACGCAATGCAATTCCATCACTAACACACTGTTCAGCTCAGCTGACATTTTTCCCCCGTGGTAAGATGTTCTCGATGAAGGAAGCAGTGCATTGATTTACATCTTGGTGCCGGCTCCTCGCAGAACAGCCCTGTGAGCAGCACCACACCGGGGAATGGTACAGGTACAAGATGGAACGCACCCGGGTTCCCGAACATCCATGTGGAACGGAGCGGCTTCCCAACCAAGAACACCCGCTCCGGGCTATAACGAGAAAGAGAAACAGACCCGTCTTATCAATGTGGCATTGCGCGGTGAGATGTCGTTCTCGTAGCATTTTAGCTTTTCCCTAAGTCGGCAGAGTTGACCATCTCTACCTGGCAGGGCTGTGGTGAGGATTTTAAAAGGCCTTCGAGAAGGTACTCAGCCAGGATCTGTTAGGTCGCATTCACGATCCTCGCTGAACCAAACATGCTATGGTTTCCTTCTCTAACTGGATCTGTTGGATCTGTTCTTGCGCCCAGGAGTGGGCCAGACACTGTGGACACAGCCCTGAGCAGGACGGACACGGTCGCTGTCCTTATCACTCATAAGGGCAAAGCAACTCACGAGTCCAGGCCCAAGACCGGGTGTAGACGGCCTGTGCGCTGGGATGCTTAGAGGAAGGCCGGAAGTGAATGGGGGCACCCAGGTACTTCCTGGCCTGCAAACGACACAAGAAACAGTAGTTGGCCTGAAGTAGAAGAGTCGCACTTTCGGTACAATTGTCCCTACACGTTCATGTATCTACAGCGTTTTTCCATGATCTCATGGGAGAAAAGCATCACTTAAAGATCTCAAAATAGGAGTGCCTGCGTGACTCGGTGGGTTGAGCGTCCGACTTCGGCTCAGGTCACGACCTCACAGCTCGTGAGTCTGAGCCCCGCATCACCGGGCTCTGGGCTGACAGCTCGGAGCCTGGAGCCTGCTTCAGATTCTGCGTCTCCCTCTCTCTCTCTCTGTCCCTGACCCACTCGCAGTCTGTCTCTGTGTCTCTCAAAAATAAATAAACATTAAAAAAACTGTAAAGATCTGAAAATAAGCTTGATTAAACTAAGAAAGGGACATTTTTCTACAACCTAATCTGGAAAGATGAAAGTTTCACGCTCCCCCACCAAAGACCCAGGGTTGTCGAGGGCGTTTAGACCTGAACAGTTCTTAGGTTAGTCGTTCGTGAACCAAGTACGCATCGGACACCACTATGATTCAGGTTCTCTTCAGGAACACAGGCAGACAAAGCCAAATCCCTGTGTTTATAGTAAAGGTCACGGCCAAGTGGGAGGTAGCCAGCCTATGGATGACCACCTGACGGTCGTACCTCTGCTTACTGATGGGATGAAGAGACTGGGGACCCAGGAGAGACGGGAGTCCAGGCCAAGACCAATCGTGGGCTTTTCTTCCAGATTTTCACTGGGTCATTCTCTCAGGATGGTGGTACTGTCTTTCCTTGGCTGATCACTGCGATCGTAAAATTAGCATTTTTTAAAATCTCATAGCCAGACACGGGCATGGAAATACTCGCCCAAGCCCAAGGATAGGCAGTGGTGCCACGTGCACGTGAAGCCCTCTAAGAACCGCACAAATACAGCGAATCACCAGTGGAGGAAAATGTAGGATTTCGACTTCATCAGAGCCCACGCCAGAGGCCGGCGAGGAACACCCGCACTTCGCGCAGGAGCACGCAAACGAACCCCCAGCTCTGGCAGCCCGAAAGTGGAGCAGCATCCTACCAGCTTCTGTTTCTTGTGGCATTGCTAGGGCGTTCGCCCCCTCTGTGTCCAGGGCATCCGGACGGGAGTCCCACCCTTAACCATTCTTCACAGCTGAGAACACAAGGAGCAGAGGGGAGCTGAGCTACTCTGGAGATGTGTGTGCCTCGCGGGTTAGAGACAGCTCGAGCTTTCTGGTGGACGCAGCCTAGGGACCTCGGCATAAAAGCAGCGTCTTCACGAAAGCAATATGCTTTTGAGAGGGGCCAGGTGCATAATAACATTACCGTTAGCTGGGTTCCCACAACCTACCCGTCCCCGCTCGCTCGTCCTGCAGTTCATCATACAAGCGGGCAAGGGCGGCTCTGAAACCCCAGGCGGGGTGAGGCTATTGCTGGTGGCGGTGGTGAGAAGGGGGGTCCGTAAGAGGGAGACGAGGGTCCTTGGACTGGGGCCGCCACGAGGGAGCTGGTACACGGAGGGGGAAAGGCATGAGAATCAGAAGTCCCTCGCTCTCCTGGAGCCCCCCCCCCCCCCCCCCGTAAAGCCCAGCCTGGAAGCGTCCATCCTCCGGGGGCTTACCCCCTCCTCCCCGCCCCACCCCTGCGATCCGGCCTGGGGTCGCGGCTCCCCCCTCGCAGGATCCGAAGGCAGCTGCCACGGCAGACCCCTCCCCACCCCCAGCCCCCGGTGGCGCCGGGGAAGAGTTCGGGAAATCGTGTCGGAGCGGAGGCGTCGAGGGTGTGCAGAATGAATCCCGCGTGGGCCGGGCGGACGCGACTCCGGGGGGGTGGCAGGCGGCGAGGGGCAGGGTGGACACAGCCTTGCCCTCCCCCTCGGCGGGAAGACGGATGGTCCCTGGAGACGGCTGCCCCCATCGCCCCGGCTCGGCTCGCGGCGCGGAGACGTCAGAG